ATAAGCTAAATACTTTTGTGATTAACTGTATATATGTATATGTTTGCACTCGCAAAATTTGTTCACACTACAGACGAGGTAAGGATGTGAGAGATCGTGGAGCGTTCGCTTTATATATACACACATACATACATACAAATGTACATACATATATTCACGGTGGTTGAACACCCACGTTTCTGCTGTTTATTCCACTCACTCCAGTGCAGAGGATTCACTTCCGAATTCGATTTAACACCGCGCGCGTTGTTCTGCTGTCGTTATTCAGCGGAATTACCACTATTGTTTGTTATTGTTGTTGGTAGAGTGACACGCTCCAGAGCGTAGTCCAATGCAAACATATAAACACATTTAAGCATTTACATACAAATTATTGCTATTTCAAGCCCTGCTCAACCGGACACACCAGCAGCAGCAGCAACAAGAATCAAGTAAAATAAAAATACAACAATAAAAATTTAAAATATTTTGTATTCACATTTGCTGTATGGACAGCGCGAGCATTCGTTAAATTGAAATGCCCAGCACAAGCTCATAGTAAAGGCTCTTATCGCAGCGTTCGGATGGCTGTGTGCTTTATGCATGTGGAATCGAGCATCTGTCTGATGCGTCGTTGCATTATCCTCCTGACTGTCGACTGACATGGTGTCGCCGCTGTGGTCAGTACCAATCAGACACTTAACTTCCCTCTATGTTTGCCTTGCTTTTAATCGTACGGAGTGGTTGGTTGCATTAATGGTCATATAAATTATGAAATCATTTGTACGTATGTATTTTATGCATATGAAATTGTGGTTGATTAACCAAGTCACGTTTCGACGTCGACTATCACTTTTACAATAAATTGTTATTAAAAATAGAATACTTTGATACGTACAGGTAAATGTAAATAAGCGTCTGAGAAGGAAGAAATAGGTACGCGTTCGTTTATGGGTGGATGGCTTTAAGAGTTTTCTATTCTTTTGTTATTGTTGCATTATGCGTACATCTATAGAGGCATTCGAAAGTGAGTCATTTAGTATGTACTAAATTATTATATTTATCATACACATACAAACATAAGTGAGAATGTATATGCGTAGATTTGTATGTGCTAAGATTTCAGGTTTTCCAATAAGAGCTGTTCTTTTGATGTTCAAGAATAGAAACTTTTCCCTTAGGAGATCGATTCATCGATTGTTTGGCACGAAAAAGTAAGGTCCATTGACTTCGGACGGTTCGAACGGAGGTCGGCAACAACGCTGCACAGGACGGCGTACAGACAGGCACTAAACGCCATTCACCAAGAGTCAGTCAACACCTTCAAAAACTCTCTCATTCACAAGGAGCTTCCTCGGAATCAAACCGTAGCAGGCGAAAAGCTCGCGCTACCTCGAGAGTCTGGCGTAATACTGGCTCAACTTGGGTATGGATATTTTAGCAATTTAAACTTATACCCATCCAGACTAGACCCTGGCAAACCTAATATATGTCCAGCATGTAAAGAGTTCTCGCACTATACTAACCACCTCTTTTCATGCCCCCTAAACCGAAATATCTAGCTCCCCTCTCACTTTGGTCCGAACTCGTCAAAACAGCTCGTTTCATGGAAATACCGTTACTGTTGTTGTTTTTGTCACCGCAAAATATTCATGAATTGGCTTTCGGAGAATACTGCAGGAGTGACAATCTTTGGTCAGATAAAAATCCGTGTCGTTCCGTTAGAAAGACACGACAGTCGTGGGAAATATTGGATTTTAGTCGCCTCTTACGACAGTCATGCCTTATAAAAAGTTAATTCTTGAGCCACTAACCCGTAGGGGCCTGCATCTCCCGCTAGATGAACTCAGGCCATTCCAAATAGCAACTCTTATTGGGAAGTATTTTATTACAAAACATATTTTTTCTTTCATTTCGAACCACTTAGACCGATTGGTTAAAGTACAGCAATCTGCAGCTGTTCTCATAAAGGGTGTCCTACCATGAGATTTCCTCAAAACCACTAGAAGCCAGGCTGCTATTAGATTTCTAGCATGCTTCTATACCATTTTAAAAGTTGAGATATTATCAGGTCTAATAAAAAGAAATCGATTATTTTTGCATGGTTTAATTTTTTTCTTTTCGTATGCAGCCTTATTTCAAATGGTTCCAATCAGAATTCTGATAGCAATTTTTGTGCCATCTTTAGCTCTTGGGCAATCGAAACAGTGCTTAAAAGACGGTCGGTCTCGGCAATGTCCATGATTTTGTCGACATTTTCGATATTTAGCCTTCCACTCCATAAGGCATCTTTTACAAAAAAATTACGGGAATGAAACCGAAATTTTGCATGAATGACTGTAACAATATCAGGATCATAAAAGGTATTCACTTCTTCAGCCATCTGTCAGAAAAGCTTTTTCAGTCAAAACATCATCTTTCTAAAGCCATCTACCGGAACACGATTGGACTTATCTAACGCGAGATACAGATAAATAACACCATCTAATGGAAAAATAATGGTTTTCTTTTTACTACACCTCATATGTAGTAGTATGCTAAAGAAACTCTAGAAGAAGTAGCAATACGACCGCGATATGGCGGGTGAGGTAGCCGGAGAAGCACTTGAAGTTTACAGGAAGCATTTAGCGGCATTGCCAAAATCTGAAGCGTAGCAAAAATCTTATTGAGAAGGTCTCTTTATTCGCAGCCTACTACGGAACATTTTTTTCGCAAATTTTAGCTAATATATCGAGTATTTTATATAATTTATTCTTTGAAATATTTTTTAAATATCGAAAAATTAAAGTGCACTTACATTTGTACATATGTAACTACCTACCATATTTAATATAAAATAATAAATATTTTTTATTACGAATGCCCAGTAAGCATTACAGTAAAAAGAAACGAAAACATTATTTACCTTCTTGGCAAAAACTAATAAAACCACGAAAACAACAAAAAAAACTAAAAACCTGAAAAATTTGTGTTTCCTTTCTTTGAATTCTGATAGCATACAAGGTAAAATAAAAAGAAAAAGAAGGTACTCGTAATGGCACTTGTATGTGTCAATATACAGTGTGTAGGCGACCAAGAAAATAGAAAAAAATGGTTATCGCTCTATCGATAACTTTAAGAAGAAAGAAATCATAAAATTCATTAAAAAAAAAATTAACAAAATATATGCCCAAAGTGTAGAAAAAAATTTAAAAAAAAATATTAACAGCATTAAGAGAACCGTCTTAACCTGCACAAGCATACATAAATACACACATATTTAAGTTGATATTAATGCATACAAACTTGAACCAAGTAATATAAAATCACACTTACCTGTTGATCAGTGCTTAAAACGCAACAAAATTTACTGAATCGAGTTGTTGATTTATGCTATTTGAATTGAAGTTGCAGCTGCCACTGCCACTGCCACTTGCAGTGGTTTTTATGCTGGCTGCGCGATTTGCTTTTATTAAACTCGCTTGCGCGTGGCTTACACACCTGCCGCGTATGCACAAACCAAACGGAGTTGCTGCGCAGCTGGAAAGGGGAACCGCACGAAATGTGATACACGTAATACAAGAACGCCAAGAAATCAACGAATACTATGCAAATTTCGAGAAACGTACGCTAGGCTAGTTTGAAAGAATTGCACAAGCTGGTAACAATAAATATGTATGTCTGAATGAACAAACAACCACTAATAACATTCAATGAGGAATTGAACGTTTAAATTTTTAACAATTTTTCTATTTAGACAGCAATTTTATAAACCAATGTAAACAATTTTATTTTCTTATGTCGTGAATTTTGTTACAGCGACTTTGCTTTTTGCAAAAAAAAAACACGCACACTTTTTTACTGGAATTTTGTGTATATTTTTACAATTATTCTTACTTCATGTTCACCATACTATTATTAATTTAATTAAGAACATTTCGCGAATGATTATTTATATTTTTGAAAAACTGCGCACAGCTTTGACGTTGTCACGCGAATGAGTTCAAGAAAGAAAATCAAACTTATAAACCGAATAAAAAAAGAAAACAAATAAAATCAAATGACAGCAAAAGTTGCTGAGCGATGCAACTCTGTGCGGTGAATAGCAGCATGTTGCGTGAACGAGCTGCCACACATATTGAATTTTTCAAATAAAATTAAGTTACAAAAATTAAAAGTAAACAAATGTTTTATTTAATTATATTTTATAGAAGTGCTCTATAAGGCAACAAAAAATCTATGTATCTTAAATTATAGAACATAAACATACATATTAAAGAGAGAACTTAAAATATATTTATATTTTGGCCTATACTGCGGCGTAGACGAGCGTACATAAACCTCAGAGCTCGACAAAGAGGATTTGGATTTCTACAGCAAGTACTTTTGCGCAGTTTGTATTTTATTTTAAAATAACTTTTAATTAAAATATATATTCGGCGCTTTATTATCGCTTACGCAATTTCCAGCTTCTGTTTGATGTTTATGAAAATGGAAGTGAATAATGCTTTAAATTGTCTACAAACTCATCAAGGCTGATGAAGCAATTATTTGCATATCAGAAATATGCCAAATACTACCCTAGATCTCTTACTTATCTTAAGATTCCCGTCAAAAATTTGTCACTGCAGCTTGTGAGAAGTCTAAATAATTACCAACAGCGATTAAGAGCTTCTTTATAATTAAAATATTTTCCTATTTTAGGTAAATTTTTATTAATATATTTTAATAATTTTGCAATTGCGGTCGCCCCTCGGCAGGGCATGTCAACCCCTCCGAGTGCATTTCTAACATGAAATAAAGCTCCTCATAAAAGCCCGTCAGCCGTTCGAAGGCGGCTCCGTATAAACTGTAGGTCCCTTCATATGTTGTGGGTCCCGAATGCTCCCTAAGTGAATCAAAATAAACTTATTATGTTAATTTAAAGGTATATTTATTTGAAATAATTTTACTCAAAAATAACTAATTTTTTTTGTGCTAAATAAATTCCTAACTAATCCAATTAAATTTAAATAAATCCATTTTGTTTTTATTCAAATAATATTATTAATAGCAACCTACATATGTACATACATATATATAGTTATGTCATTGCTATTTAATCACTGTCATAATCATTTTTGTTGCCAACAGTTAGAGGTCGTCGCGATTCATCCTCAGATCCATATACAACCTCCTCATCAGAATCGTTAATCATCGAAAATGCGGGATTATCTTTGGTAACAGAGATCTCTGAAAAAAAAAAGACAAAACATATTTATTTCGTACTCACCTAGAAATCTTCCACATAATTTCAAAGGATTACCTTGTGAAAATCGTCCATTGGGCGAATACACATAAGCCATGGTGTACAAATAGAAATTAAGCAGACCATAAAAGCACATGAATTGCGCTGAACTGTGATAGGTGGTATTGAGAGTGGCCACGAAATTATCCTCCAAAATGCCGAAGCCAAAGCGACACGTTGTAACGATTATAGAAATCGAGATGACAAAGAGCATGAGCAGCGTCAGGAATTTCAGGCGCATATCTAGAGAGCATAAATGAAATATTTTTTTTTTTATTTAGCTAGAGAGTAAGCCTAGTAACACATAAGCACTTACCAAAGTAAGGCATCGATCTGAGTTCTGTATAGGCGCGTAATACTAATAAGGCCAAATACAATATATACATGCAGCCAGCAATGAAGAAGAACAGTTTGAAGCCCTAAATATTAAAGAAAAATGTGTATTACATCTTGGGAAAACCACGTAAACTCAACAGCTCGCATACATTGTAATTTCGCGTATCCACAAAGTGACTGTAGGTGGGATCACGCAACTCATTGCATTTCTCCCAAGTAGCCAGTACAATGGCGCACAGCCATATCGGTAGTATAACAATGATCTTGGGCAAGTAGAAACGTATAAAACGTCTTTCATTCTGGCGCAGACCATGATAGATACACAGCCAAAACATTAGCAAGGAGCAGAGGAATGTGGCCTGCAGCACTGCATCCAGCATGCCGGGGAACCATGAGTTCATTAGGAAAATCAAAGGAAAGAGGGGATCTGTAAGAAGCTCACTGTTAGTTACGTATATTTACATACTTGCATACAAATTTATATGTACTTTTGATTTTTACAACTTACTATCATACAAGAGAAGCAACGGTAGCAATATGGACATCCATTTCTGTTCGATGGACCAATCGTAGATGGGATATTTGCGCAGGGTGTGCGCATACCAACACTGCAATTGAAAAAGAAGAAAAGAATATGTTGAATTCAATTCACAAATTACGAACTCTCCTTCTACTTACAATAACGATAAAGGTGAATAACAGGAATATGAAGCGGAACCATATTTCGATTTGTGTAAATTCGGGACTATAGGTCTTGAACTGTGAAAGAAAAAAACATTTTGAATTAAAGTGTAGCTCTATTTGCATTGTAAAGTCGTCTAGGTAACCTCGCTGTTCGGAAAGATTAAAGAGTCTGTTGTTCTCAACCTAAGAGGAATCTAAGATTGTTTTCTGATTAATATAGTCTAAATGAGGCAATTCTTGTAACACCTGCCAGTTAGGAGTCTCTGGAGCAGTTTAAAATCTAACAAATCTATCCAAACCCTTTAATGAGCAAGAAGTTATCGGACTATGGAGTCTCTTATTCGGAACATTTTCAGTGGTATTCCATTTTGCAATATTGTTTTTAGTCCAGCGACTAACTTAGAGATTGCACAGAAAGTACTGTTAGGTTAGTAAGTTAGAAAGGTAAGTCCAGAATATTGTCTTCATATGTATATTGATGGTCGCTCCTCAGCAGTGAATCCCAAAAACTCCGAGTATAATTCATTAAATAACCCAACAGACCTTCGCAGCCGTCTAAGAATAGACCGTCTCATCATCAAGACGTAAGCCACAAATTAGTGGTGGAGATCGGTCGCATATATGTAAAGGGTGATCTATTTCGAGGTTCCCTACCTTTTCTACTCTCATATGATCCATTCACGAATCGTGAATCGTGAATCGTGAAATTATAATCTCACCCACAAAAAATCCCTTGGTTGATGCATTGTGTGGGAAGTGGCGCCGAGCTTCAATTTCACGCATTTAATAGTCGGTTATTATGGCGTCATAACAGTCGCTATTGATGGTTACATTCTCACCGGCTTCAGTTTTGAAGGAATATAGACCGATGACTCCACCGGCCCACAAGCCATATTAAACCGTTTTTTTTTATAAATGGCATCTCTTGAATCTCTTCAAATTGCTCTTCGTCTCGAACCTGGCAAATTTGCTTGTTTCAATGCCCATTGAGACAGAATGAGGCCCATTTTTTCATTGGACAAAATTTGGTTGGAAAAGCTCGGATTTTTCAAAAATTCTTAGAGCGAAGCCATGTCGCTTGGGAAGATCGAGCGACTTCAGTTCTCACACACGCTTATTTTGTACGCTTTCCATTACGATCTCGATGTGAAATACGCTAAGTCATTCCATACGTCAGTTCGAGTTGCTGCGTACACGCCGAATCGACTCTCCACATTCTTCGTGTACGCTCTCAGTTATGGCTGCTAAGTTTTCTTCGTTTTTTGTGATCTATTTGGCCGAATGTTATCCAATAATGAATGGTGTGTCTCAAGATGGGTGATGATGTTGCAAAAAGTTCGCTCAGTAGGTCAATTATGTTGATCCTAAGTTGGCGAGCGAGGCACGCGAAACACATTCTTTACCGAACGTGAACTTTCGTAATAAAGATGAACGATTTGTGATGAAATGCCAAACAATACTGAACAAAAATAACTTGATCTCGCGTGGTCTATCAAAAAAAAAGGCTATTGAAATAAGTACCTCTACTTGGATCACCCGCTACATTCGTATGTATGCATGTTGAGGTTCGATATAGATGAGACGGAGTCTCTTCCATGTGCGGAAATGAGGCACGAGTTGGTTCTAAAACTGTGAAATTGATAAAACTATCTTTTCTTGGCCTCGTTTTACTACTCAACAAACTCGCCCACCCTTTATGAAACTACAGTCTGTTACTCTCTGCTCAATGGTTGAACTGCCTTCAAGCGAGTGGATTTTGTACTCGTTTTAGGTAGTTCATTCAAGCCTTTATAACCCAAACTCCTCTTTAAGTTCGATAGTCAGGGATCTAAATTGATGGAGTATTTCGGGGCATAACCACTGTCTTTTACATTTTACTTCAAAAACTCTAGAGGCTAAACATACTGCTCAAATACTCACGTAAAAAGTTATACTCCGTATATTATACTTCTGGTGAAATGACTCCAGTCCATAAAAACGCACAGTGATTATATAATGGGCGTACTCCAGGAATCCCAAATGCAGTATCGTAAACTCCTCACAATCGTTACGTACACAAGACAAATGCCGTGTACGATTACGAACCGAGTCCGCGCGTAGTATACTCAAAGGCTTGTGCTGCTCGGTTATACCATCAATGGCGACGCTCACATGGAAACTCTTATCATATTTCTCATCTAAACGAAAGTTCAAAGAAAATCGTAAACGCTAGAATCCTTTAATACACACGAATACTCGTATATCACACATTTCTACTCACCATCGTTATTGTCCGTCACCAATTTGGCAATCAGCCACAGTTGTTGTGAGTATGTGGTCATAAGTGGTGATTTCATTGCAAACGGCCCTGTAGCCAATACCGTTTTGCTTTTAGCCAATGTTGTATTTGCCAATATACTTTTGGCTGTGATCTCCGATGTACTGGTGATGGGTGGTCCGGTGAGACCAATTACTATGGCCAAACCGAAACAGATGAGAAATCCCAAAAAGACCATAACAAATTCACGTTTCTGCATCGAGTACAGACGCATGTGCACGGAACGTTCGCAACGGTCATGATGATAGGCCGGCGCTATGTATCTATTGAACTCACTGAATAGATCGCTAAATTGTGAGAGGGAATTCTTTAGACGTAAAAGTAAACCACCAGAGGGCAGGTGGTATGAGTAGCCCAGACCCGAAGTGTCTGTGGGTGGTTTGGACATTATGACGGGCACTTATATTATTATATGGTGCGGCGGTGCTGTTTGGATAACGATTTCTATCTCCCTAGAGCGGTAGCGATAGTAATGTGAGACTCGGTTGGAGTTGAGTAGGTTTGGAGGAGCGCAGTAGATGTTTGTGTTGGCTGTGGTGTTGTTGTTCTAGAGTGCAGATGGCAGTTTTAGTTTGGTGGTGGTGGTGGTGATGATGTTTTCCCCAACTTGCTTGGATGTCTTATGGCAGAGGGAATGGTGTGCGATAAGCTTTACTACAATACTCTACACTGTTATCTAATTCACACGGGTAGTGGTGTTGGGGGAGGCAATGAGATGCTGTTTGGGAAAAATTGAAAGTATGAAAAAATATTTTGAGTTTCTCAATTTTGAAAAACACTGCGTCTCTTAAAGTATATGCACTATGTTTACTTCATTTTCACTTTTACTCCGAAAATTGTTTTTAAAATCGTCTCAAATTTCTTTGTAGGCTTATGCAGCTACATTTCGCGTTTCGTTAATTTAACGGTAATCAAACGAACTCTGCACAACACTTCATTGAAAATTTATTCTAGGATGACTGTCTTCTAAGATTTTTGAGTTAGTGTTTTATTTTTTATGAAATTTTAAGAAATCTTTTGAAAAACTTTCGCGTCTGCTAAAATCGATTATTTCACTTTGTAGACAAAACACATATGGCGTACCATTTCCATATGTGGTATAGTCCAAGCCATAGGGGTGTCGTCTGCGATGCATTTACATGAATATTCTATACACATTTTGACAGTTGCTATTTGGGTCCGACTGCGCATGCCCCACTGTTATCAGTTATTTTGTTACGAATCTCGTCGCAGTGCTAAAGCTGAAGAAGGGGTTTGTTTGTAAACAAACGTGGAAAATTCAGTAAACAAAGTAGGGAGTATGTGAGCTTTGGCGAAGTGGTGAGAATGGGACATGAAGCCGCTTATTCCACCTATCTCAACAAAGCTTGACAATGGTGGGGTTGGATCAGTATTTGATTATACCTTGCGATCCCTGAGAACTAGAATTTTCAATTTAACAGAGGTTTTATGATAAAAAAAAACTTTACTTTTTTATCACATTTTTGATTGTGGGAACAATCTGTCAAAAAAAAATCTAACCGGTTGTAATCAACCTACATCCTCACTAGCTGTAAGCATCATTGAGATTACTTAGAAGTATTAAAGAAGGCGTTCCGCGGATGGCATCCTCTCCCCACTGCTCTTTAACTTTTACTTATCGGAGCTCCCTTCTCCAAGGGAAAGAGTTTCACTGATCCCATATGCCGATAATTGTTCGATATTGTTATTACTGACTTTTGTTCGAAAGTGAATTGCTATCTCGCCGACCTTTTCCACTTATTTAATGCAAGACAATTACAACTACATCCAACAAAGTCCTTGGCTACCCTCTTCAGCATCTGGACGAAGGTGTACCGGCGCGAGCTCAATTTAAAAATACTGACTATAAACTACCCGTAAGTAGTCACATTCTATAGCCTGCACTCCTTCACTCCGCAGGCTGACTGCGATTGCCATAAAACTTCAGAGCCGCAACAAACTCATCAGAGCGTTAGCCGACGGCATCTGGACAAGACAAAGAAACGTTGCTGCCATCTTGCAAGGCGCCAGTTGACGGTTGTAAACTATGCCGCTCCGATCTAATATTTGCTGTGCAAGCAATTTGCAGGCACTTACTAGAAGCCAAATCACCACCTACGCACATCAAAAGAGGAGTATTCGACTTTAAGGACTGCATTTAATACCATCTATATCTATAACAACCGGTGGGCAAAGCGTCCGTCGAAATCGCTTGTTTCTTGGACCTCCTGTTCAATGACCTCCATGACAGACTAATCTTGGCTGCTGTGAAGCGATAAAAAGCAAAATAAGAACACTGGCTTTTAGTTCGAAAACTCATCAGCAGAGTTGAGATATATGGGTATACATACATACATATGTATCAAGGATTGACACTAACCCAGCATAAATAACTCTCTGATCTCGTAAATTTCTTAATAATAATTTATTTTATTAACATAATATACATACATATGTACTGTAGAAAATAATTTTACATTCAGCGCGTCCTTTTCTTAATTAATTAATCTATTATTTAATCCCAGTACTTGATTAGGCCATCCCAGCCTGCCGTGACTACTTTGCTGGGTTCATGTGGATGCCACAATGTACTGATGCATACACCTTCATGAGCTTGCCACTTTTTATACATTTTCGTCGTCTTCCAATCCCAAATGTAACATTTGCCATCACCATCTCCGCTAACCAAATAACTCATATCTGGCGAGAAATCCAATTGACAGGCATATCCAGAGACCATATGGCCACTAAACGTCTTCTTGCGATTCATTTTGAAACGATTTAGTGCAGAAAAGATGACGATTTTATTATCCAGCGATTGACATGCCAACCATTTACCATTTGGTGCTAAAGTCACGGCAGGCATGGAATGCATTGTAGGATCGGCGATGTATTTCATATCGACTGGAATATCCCATTCCCAAATACGCATCGATTTGTCATCAGAGGTAGTAACGAAACGACGATTCTCGTCCACGAATGTTATCGTATTGACAGCGCCTAAATGGCGATCATATTCCTGCACAATATCACCGCTGCGTGTGTCCCACTGTAAGAGAAAGAAATAATTCAATTATTTACGGGTCTACTGATACTCAAATATTCTATAACATGCACTGATTATAGAAAGATACTTACACAAATGATTTTTTTGTCAGATGTGCCTGCTACAAAGAGGTGCTGTTTATTATTGTCCGGATGAAACTTAACGCAGAATGGCATTTTCCGTGCTGTAAATCGTGATACTACATCGCCTGTCTCTGCATCCCACAATTTTATGTAACGATCGTATGAAGCAGAAAGGAATTTAGTGCCTTTATTATTCCAAGCAATATCTTTGATAGCTTGTCTATGACCTGAGAATGTTCGTATGCAGCGTCGTTCACCAAAAACTTCCCATAACTTGACGCGACAATCCATCGAGCCCGAAAGTAACAAATGAGCGGTTTGTGGAAACCAACGTATTGAGGAAATTCCCTTTGTATGACCAGTCCATGTGTGTATGTGTGCCTTGGGCAGGAAACATTTGTTTGGCGCTGAATTGGAGCGTAAATTGATACCCAAATCGTGTGGTGCATGTAGATAAGAGCGTCCTTGGTAATCGTAGGCATCCTTAACTGAAATAAGGAAATGCGTATGGTTAATATTTTGTTAGGGTAAATAATCTGTTAATTTAAAATGAAAAAACCTAATCTTTTTGAAATACTTACTATGCAGCACAGATTTCTCCTCCAGAGGTTTATCTTCCACAATACGATTGCGTCTGTGTCGTTTTGCCAAAATTTCCTCTAACTCTGCTTTCTCTTGTTCATTTGGACGTGCTACTGGTTGTTCATTCTCATACTTGCCCCACGGTCCTACGAAACCTTCAATATCTTCGGGATTGTCATTTTTGTCTTGTTTACGTTTTCTTTTTTGCTTTGCCGATTCAAATACAGTTTTTCCATCATCATCATATGCCGATTGCAGGTCACCTACAAAACTTTGTCCATCTGCCACTTCATCGACGGTTGGATCTAATGCATAACCATATGTATGGAATGTACGTCGCTGATTTTCAAATTCAAATGCATTAATATGTGCTTTCTCAACATATCCGGATAGTGTGTTGCGTGGTGCACGCATTTGTTGTGTTAAATTTGGATTTTCTGGACCTTGAATGGGTGCATATAATTCTTCATATTTAGGATTATAAGTCACTTCCTTTACGGTTGGATCAATGGTACGTTGTACATCACATGCATTCATCGGTACAACTTCTGGTGCGGCGCACACAGCAAGCGTTTTGGCAATTGATTGCGCTGGGTCGACAGGTTTCAGATGCGCCATTTCATCTTTACTTGCGGACGCAGAATCAGCAACTTTAGCATGCTCCTCCGTCTCTGAATCACTTTCTGACGATGACCCGTAATTCTTTAAACATAGCATTTTCAATATTTAGCTCTTCACAAATAGATATAAAAAACAGCACTTCTCAGTAAACACAAGCAAATCAAACCAAACGTCAAATCACAAGCAACAGCTGTTCTCAACTGATCGTATGTCAAGCAAAGCCCGTTTATATACGTTCTTTGTTTGACTGTCAACGCCGCGGCCATCTTGGTTTTCCGTTGAGCATACACAGTCGCATTTTGGCAGTTAGGGACATATGACATAGAAAAAGAAAGGCACTTATTAATCTGTACCTAAAAAAGTGAACCATGATGTATTAATAAATGCCAACGAAATACTGCGCAGGGTTGCAAAATTTACTTTAGTACTAAAATTTACAATTCAGTAAAATTATTTACTTTTTGTATTTTAAGTTCACTGACACCCTGTAAATTTTGTTACCATCGAAATAGGAGGTAACAAAAAATCTACTGTTTGATTTTGTGTTGTTAGTTTGAGAAATAATAAAAACCGAAATAGGTCGGCATATTTTAGGCCTGGAATTCATTGAAGATGAAGAAAAAAGTGTAAAAAGGCGTATGCTTAGAAGTTCGCGAGAAAAAAATGGTCCTTTTAATTTTGAAGATGGCGTCTTCATTAAAATTTTTTTTTGTAGTTTAGGCATATTTTCTAAAACTAGTTTCAAATATTTATGATATAATAAACACACAAATAAAACTTATTTATTTTGTTGTGCACTGTCTCTTATTTAGATGTGAATGATATTCTTTTTTACTTTACCAAATGTAATGTGACAAGGACGAAAAATGCAGTGCTGTTAAGGTTTTTTTCAAACATTGTAACCTGTGCGCCAGAATACCAAATTCAATTTCGGGTGTTAAAAAAAGTAACAAATTTTTCTTTACCGGTAACAGTTGGAATAGGCCTGAAAGAATAAACATTTGTAACTAACAAGGCGAATTTATAGAACGTGAAGTTGTCACATCATATGATTGCTTGTTTTTACTTCCATTTTAAAAACTTACACAAACAAAATACCTGAGAAATATGTTTTGACATTACGAACCATCGATTACACTATCAAAATATAATAACAATTTTCGTTTTTGATTTTTCGAAATTACGATTACACAAACAAATTGCATAGCATTTTTGTCTTTGTATTCTTGCTATACTACCGTGTGTGAATTTGCCTTGATAACTAATACCTAAACTAATTAAGGAGGTTTAAAAGAAACACACATATTTTACGTGGTAGAAAGAGTTGAAGCCTCTGAACTATTGTTAGCCCACGAATAAAAAATCAAAACTGTACATTTTAATTTTCAATAATTATTTTTATTTATATTTCCTTCATTCATTTGTATTTTCAATGTTGTAAATTGTATAATTGTTATAATAATAATAATAATAATAATATAATAATAATAGTTTTGTAAATTTTTAAGACAAAAATTTTGTATGTATGCGTGTGTATTTGGATTTGCACGCCCAAAACGCCGTGTTGCTAGGCTGTGTTGCATGCAACGCTTGCGCGTTCAACTACATATTTTGATTAAAATACATTTACGCAAGTATGTATGTATGTATGCATTGTATATAATATATATTTATTATATACTTGACTTTTACGTAACTTTCATACACACATTTATATACATACAAATAATTGCATTTATTTATATATGTATGTAATTATGTATTTATTTAAGTATATATAACGGTTTGAATGCTTCATTGCTATTTTATATTTATGTATTATTAATTTTAATTTAAAAAAAGTTAGCTATAATTAGGCTTAAGTTTCGCTTAGACGAATTTTATATTTAATTTTGCAAGCGTTATTTAATAATATTGTTTCTTATACATTTGTATACAAACAATGTGAATATATGCATGTATGTATGTAAGCATATACATATGTACATGGAGGTATGTACATACTATAAAAAAAACTGTTATGAAAATATTTACTTATTTTTATTTTAGTGTCAAAATAACAATAAAAACTAGGCATTAAAACTAATAATACATACAAACAATGAATGTACATAAACACGGACTGTACATAAGAAGTGTGTCAAAACAAAAAAAAAAAAACCAAAAAAAACAAGCAGTATAAAATTGTTAAAAATAGGTTTATGTATGTATTAAAAATTAAAAAAAAAAATTAAACACTTAACACTATGCAGTCAAAAAATAAAAAAAAAAAACTGAGTTAATTTGCATATGAGTTTAAAAAATTATGGCTTTACTTCTTATACATTTTTTTTTTACAAAATATTATGGCACTCTTATTATAGCATAACTTTCAGGGTTGTTAGTGTATTTTTTGGTTTTAATTTCATTATTGATGCTGGTTTTTTGTGTTAATTATTATTAGTTTTATGAATTAAATACAACTTTTTGCTATAACTAACGGTTTATAAGGCATTAAAACAAATTGTTTCGGACGTTTGCACGCGATCGAAAAATTTGTGCTTAAAATTAAGGTTTTTTGTTTATAATTGTTTATGTAATTTAATTATTAATTTTTATTTTAATTTTAATTTAACATTTTTTATTTTTATTTTTTATTATTAATTTTTTACTTAAACTTTTTTATTATTTATAAACATATGCATCTACACTAATTACATTTTTTTAACTACATTAAACGTGTATGTATGTATTTCGACTAACATATTTTGGTTTCACTCAATTCTCTTTGAGTTTATGGCCGCTTAGAATTCACCGTTACAAACAGAAAATGTATAAAAAAAATTGCATAAACATACGTATAAATTTATTTACAGAAAAATACTTATATATATATACGCGCACTTAATTGTAATAAATACAAAATATTGTTAAACTAATTATATTTAATATACATAATTAAATTTTAATTAAAATTAAGCGTACAAACACAGCTACAATCCAACAATTCTTACATCTTTGTATGTACACGTATGTGTGATTGCGGTGAACTCTCCAGTCACGCTTACTGTGCTTAGCGTACGTAGTGTCTTTGGATTTTCTAGCTTTTTGGCTTGGTTGGGTTATTCACAAGGCGAATATAATTTCATGAGCGAAAAAATTGTTCAAAACCATTAAACCAAGTTTAATTAAAATTAAAATTAAAGTAATTAAAATTACACAAAAAAAACCACAACAATTTTAGGTCAAACAAATAATAATAAAAACAATAAGAATTTTTAATTTAACTTAACTTAATTCAAAAATAATTATTTATGTTAAACTTTTGAGTAAAAATGGCATTTAAATCTTTTTTATATTTTCTGTAGCGCAACAAAATCATTTCGAAAAAAAAAAATATAATTTACCAAAATATTTAACTCCTCTTTTTGACATTTTTGACACTTGAAGAGAGTGCTGAACGAAATATGTTCGTTGTTTGGGAAACCTTTTTAACGAGTGAGCATTTTATTTTTCAAATTTATAATTAAATTTTATTTTTGCTGCTTCGTGGTAATATCAAGTTTAAGCTTAAGTTTTTTGTTGTTGTTTGTTTTAGTTCAATTAAGTTTTTTCTATTTTTATTTCATACAAATTTGTATACAATGTATTTGTATTCGCTTTTAAATACATATATTGATTAAACGGTAAAAACTGTTGCTTTTCGTTGTAATGGCATTTCCTGTATGCGTATGCGTGTTGGCAAATTCAAAAAAAAAAAATTATAAAAATTAAAATTTTTGTTACAAAAAGTGCATGTGGAAAATCGCTTGTTTCTTTTTTTTTTTTTTTTTTGTAAACGGAAATAAATTTTTTTAACGCGAAAATTCCTTGCAATTTTCATATACTTTTAAAATATTTCTTGCAGGTTTCTTATTGTCCATGTATGTGTTTACAAGTAGTGATTTGTTTTTAATTTTAGTTTAATTATTTTTTGAATTTCGTGTTGCATATAATTTTTTTAAATTTTTATTTTGAATTGTAATCAGTGTAATAATTTGCATTTTAAGGAGGAGATTTTTTTGTTGAATTTTTTGTATTTTTCTCAGCTTTCATTTAATATTTTTTTTTTATAAATCTTTCGTACTTTTTTAATGATTTGTTTTTTTTTTTTTAATTTTTTTGCAACATTTTACAAGCTAAACATTAAGTGTTAATATCATAAAGTTATTTTATGATTTTTTTGAATTTAATTAATTTTAATATTTCAAACAAGTTGCATATAATAAGGCCAAATTAATGTCAGTTTCTTAAATTATTATTTTAATTTAAATTTTTTATTTATACTAAAATTTTTTAAATTTATTTTTATGTACTCTTTTCACTTTTTTGTTTATTCAAAAGTTTACTTACTAAATTTAAGTTCCCTTGAAAGTTTCAAATTTTGCTTTTTCGCTTATAAACAAATCAAACCTCCGAAATGGGTGTCATTGCCATAATTTTTTTTAAATAAATTTTTTTTTTATGTTTTAGACCGTACGTTTGGCTAAGTGGAATGCTCATCGTAGTTATTTGCTGCATGTGTGTGTGTGTGTGTGTGTGTTGTTACTCGTATTTAAAAAAATAAGTTTTTATTACTTAATTCCAAATTAAAATTATTAAAATACTATTTTTTTCCAAATAAACTTTAAGAATATGTGATACTATATGAAATTAATTTTTCAATATTTTTCAAATATTGTAAAATTCTATTTTTATTCAACAGAAAGTTTTGTTAATTGCCGTATTAAACTATTTTTTATTATAAGAACGCGAATCTGAGTTTCGTATGGTTTGTATGGTTTGTAGATATATACTATTGCACAATATTGTAATACAGTTTTTGTGTTAAAAAAATACAGTTTTTAAATACTATTTACTGATTTGTGGAAGAGAATTGTTGCGTAAAAAATTACAAAAAGTTTAAATAAGGATTTTATTAATTTTTTAGAAATTAAAAGGTTCAAATTTTTTTGAAGTAAACAAATTTTAACCGACTGTTTTGTAATTTTTTGAATTAAAAAATTTGAATTTTTTTTGATTAAAAAAACTTTAAATTTTAGTGAATTTAAAAAACTTAAAATTTTTGTGAAATTGAAGTCTTTAAATGATTTTTTTCTAATTCTTCTGAAATAAAAAAATATTGAATGATTTCTTTTCTGAGTTTTTCTGAAATAAAATTTTTAAATTTTTTGTAATAAATAAATTATATCTTTTTGAAATAAAAAAAATTGAAATGAGTGTTTTCTAAGTTTTCCTGAAATAAAAAACTTAATATTTATAAAATAAAAATTTCAAAGTCTTGGAAATAAAAAATTTTGAAATTTTTTTTTGAAGCCAAAAGTTTTGAAAATTTTGTTTTTTGAAACTAAAAATTCTGGTTAATTTTTTTTCTGATTTTTTGTTTTGAAATAAAAAAATTGGCATTTTTATGAAATAAAAAAATTTTGAATAATTTTTTTTTTCTGAATTTGGTGAACGGGATTGCTTGAAATAAAAAATTTTAAACAATTTGAAATAATTATGTCAAGTTCTTGGAAATAAAAACTTTTGAATAAGTCTCTTTTGTAACTAAAAATTTTAATTGTTTTTTTTTCCGAATTTTTTTTTGAAATAAAAAATTTAAAATTATAATAAATAAAAAATTTAAAATTATAATTTTTTATTGAATTTGGTGAAAAAGATTTGATGAAATAAAAAATTTTAAGTATTTTGAAATAAAAATTTCAAAAATATTTTTTGAAATGAAAAATTTAAAACAATTTGAGATAAAAATTTTAAATTCCTTGAAATTCAAAATTTGTAATGATTTTTTTCTGATTTTTTTATTTTTAAATAATTGGGAAATTTTAATGAAATAAAAAAATTTAAATAAAAAAATTAAAATTTTATTTTTTCTGAATTTGGTGAAAAAGAATTTTGAAAAAAAAAAATTATAAACAAAAGTTAATATTTTATTCGAAATATAAAAATTTAAATTTAACCTTTTTCGAATATTGTTAACAAAATTTTACATGATTTTTTCGTATAAATGTTTTCTATTTCTAATTGCGGCACTTCCCAGCCCCTCTGCCCAACTCAATTTATAAATAAATTCACTGTCAATTAATTATATTTTTAAACGAGATTTAAAATTTTGCGTAAACATAAAACGTAGACTAAAAGAAAACTAAGCTAAGATAAAAGTAATAATAAAATACTTGATTTCTCTCGCTTTTGTATATTTACATGCTTAAAAATATGTATGTATATATATTATTTATATATACACTAAACAAAAATTCAATGGGAGTATTTTACTTGGAACTGGCATGCAAAAATGTATAAACTTAAAAAAATAATTAAATATCTCTTATTTTTGCCAAAAAATAAAGAAAAAATTGTCAAAATATTTCGAATTAAATTCATTAAACTGAAATGTTTAAAACTTTTACCAATGTTTTTATACTTATGTACAAAGTAATTTGTTTTTGTAACGAGCTTCGTGCCTGCACAAAAAAATGATTGTTTAAAAGAAATATACAGATATTTTTTAACGAATTAAAAAAAGTCTAAAGTATACTTTTGTTTTACAAAAATTAAAATAAGTTATTCAATACTTTCTAACACTTATTAACATCTTCACACTAAACACAACATGTTCGAGCGTTTTATTAACGAATGCTCTAGTTAGAGCTTATTTAGCTAAGGTTGTATGCTTGTAAAAATAGTAATTTGGCTTAAGTACGAGCTTAAGTGCGGAATTCCATTTTCGTCTTATAAATTTCATTTTGACTGATCAAACATTATTTTAAATATATGTTAATAAATATATAAAATATTTATACGTAATTGGCGTTTTCAAAACGAGCGCTGAATACCTTTAAGCATAATTCAGCAATAGTTTTTTCTTTGGCTGAGTGATTTTCAGCATGTGAAAGAATAATTCTGACATAGTCAAAGTGATTCAGCTATATGCTGACACGTTTTTTTCAGCTCAGCTGTAGTTAAATTAATTCAGCTACGAGCTTACAATTATTTTCTGCTATATATTCATTCAGCAGCTGCGTGCATACACTTCTTTGGTACAACTATGTAATTAATTCAGTGAACTGACTTGATTTTTTTTTTGTTCAGCTATAGTTATATGCGGGCTGTATTTTTGACCATCAATTAAGTAGCGGCATTTTATTACTGAAGAAATCGAAATATTGCTGACGTTGCTGATGTGTATGCGGGTGCGTGGGCGGCATCGTTGGCATTGGTGGCGCGCTGTAACGCGGCGGCGGCAACAGTGATTGATCCACAATGTGGCTTGCTTGGTGGGTATGATAGTGAGTTGGAGCATCACCGCCACTTAAATGCGACATGTCGTTTGCGCCATGCAGAAGCGGCGGCGGCGGTAATGTAGGCAGCGCTCGCTGTTGTTGTTGTTGCTGCTGCTGATTCAGTGCAGGTGGTAACATGCCACCCATACCGCTACCGTTCAACGGTGGCCAAATCATATGTGGCTGTGGCGCAGGCGGTGGTGGTGGCGGCGCTAGTAATTGTTGCGCTTGCAAGCGTTGTTGCAAATCATTTTGTTGTTGCTGTTGTTGTACGCGTTGTTGCTGAAATGCGGCGGCCGCCATTGCTGCTGCCGTTTGGTGTTGCTGTTGTTGTTGTTGGTGGTGGTGATGGTATAGCGCGCCGGTCGCATGACTGCCGAACTTTTTACGAAACTCAACGATATTCAGCAGATTTCTCGAAGCCGCTGCTGAGTTGGCACGTCTATGCGTAACTTTGCCATTATTCGGAGTTGCTGCTGACGATAACGATTTTGTGGAGGCGGATGTTTGTTGCGCTGAATTGTCGTTTACCTATTCCCTGTAGGGTTTGCAATACGAATAACGGTGATTCATATGTTGACTGTAGGAGCCGGAATGTGAAAAACGCTTGAAGCATTTGGTGCACTGGAAAGGCTTTTCGCCACTGTGCAGACGCTTATGTTCGGTTAAGTGGTGTTTATGCTTGAACGCCTTCGGACAGTCCACACACTGGTAGGGACGTTGACCTATGTAAAAGAAGAAGAAGAAGAAAAGCAGACGGAAAAACGTTACGGAGTCAGTAATACTGCACTAAGATTCTTGTGAAAAAAAGTAGCAAAAGGTTAGGCCACTTAATGGCTCATATGCTCACCGGAATGCTCGTACTTGTGTCTCGCTAACGAGCTCTGCTTCGCAAAGGCTTTGTCACATTGATCACATATAAAAGGCAAATCCGGATCACCCGCATGACCGTGAGTCTCCGCTTTCGGACGCTTCGGTTTGGGCAGCAAACCGTTGGCAATGTAGTCATCTTCGTGTGAAATGCGCGAGTCGTCGTCCCGCCAAGAGCGCTTCTCTGAACCGCCTGGACTGAGGCTGGTGCCGCGATAGTCAGGGAATTTAATACTGTTGATAAGCGGATTGCAGGCATAATCGCCGGGTGTCATACGGAAAATCGCATCCATAGGCATAAGACCACGCTGTGTACCCGCAGGCAGCATGTACGGTGGTAGATGACCAGCTAACGATGCCGAAAAACTGTTCTGGTGGTTGTTGTCACCATTGCGTGGTGCGAGCGGTTGTTGCTGCGGCAGCGGTGGTGCTTCACTAGGCGAAGGCGTTTGCCGCTGGAAGTGATGACCGCTGGGAGGCGCGCCGAAGTAGAAGGCTGCTTGCTGTTTAAGTGACTGAGGTACCGACGCAGCGGATGATGGTGAGAGCGAAGAGGGCGGTGACATCGAGGCGGACATTTTGCGACTCAAGTTAATGGCTTCGTTGAGATCACTACCATTGACATTCTGCATTGGAGCAATACCGTAGAGTGGTGAGTGTTGTTGTTGCACGCCATTTCGTTTCAGTGCCAAAGGCCAATCACGTTTAAGCGACAAATCTAGCGGCTGCTCATCGCCGGTACGCGCGCCTCCAGCAGGCGCCGCTTTACGCTCCACATTGTTAACGGTCGCAAGCTCTGAGACGCCCATTGTAAAGGGCACTTTGTTGCCATTTGTCTGTTGCTGTTGATAGCTTTGCATTTTACGCTCTCGTGAACGATTGTTCTGAAACCAAACCTGCACAACGCGCGCGTCCAACTGCAAGCGCGCGGCGATCATGCGGAACTCTTCGCGACTGGGTCGCGCATTTATGGCGTAGTGCTGCTTCAGTTGCTGTTGTTGCTCCTCAGTGATGGCAGTACGTACGCGTACCTTTCGCTCGCTGCCCTCACTATTGCAGTCGTTGCGTGAGTTTGAATCGCGTTCATCTGGATAATCCTCAGCATCGCTGGAATGTAACAGCGAGGCATTCTGTTCGGTGGCCTCGTCCGTATTATGTTGGGTTTCTAAAGATTGCGGCGGTTCCTCGTCAAGCTGTTGTCGCTCCCGTTGCACCGGCGTTGTTGCTGGTTCTTGGTATTGGTGTTGCTGTAGCTCTTGTTTGATGAATCCACAAAGAACTTTTTCGTGTTGTACGAGCTCTGTGTGATGGTTGAACTGTATGCTGCAACGGCTACAGCGCAGCTCGGTGGAATTGAAGGGTGTATCAGAGTTGATTTGCTCGTTTGTCTTACCTACCGCGCTTGTGGGTGTAGAAATAGTTTCTCGTGGTTGTGCTTCTTCCATTTCACCGCTTTGGTCTAACTCTTGCTTAATTGTGGGCAGAGCTTCTAACTGCACTACTCCTTCTTGGTCTTCAACTGTCTCCTCTTCAGCTGGTGTGGAGGGACAGCTTTGCTCTATTTTAATTTGCGGCGCTCCATCATGTTCGATAACTTCAGCTATCGTTTCAACATGCGCTACTTGCTCCTCAGTTGACGGCTTTGTAGCCAAGTTGTTATCTTCTGCTTGTAATTTATCACAAGTAGCTTCGTCTTCGTTGTGATTGGAATGTTCGTCAGTTTCCTTTGTTACTTGAATCGGCTCATTGTCTTCGTTGTCCTCTCTCTCTCCCTCTCCCTCTCTATCATCCACATTTTCATTACCCTCTTCTATGGCATCACTCTCATCTAAGTCCATAACCAATTTGGATTCGTCGGGAGTTTCTTCCTCGTTAACTTCCTCCTCGTCATTCGAGTCATCAATGCGCGTGCTATGCTCTTCCGCAATTTTCACCTGATGCTTTTCGCTATGTCCTTGTTCATTCTCCGCATTTGCAACGCTGCGTTGCTGCTCCTCTTGCTGATGTTCGCGCTGCTGCTGCTGCTGCCCTACAGCCGTAATTTCCAGCAGACGCTGTAAGTTGTTGTATGGAGACAAGCGCGGGTCGAGGCCCAGGCCATAGAAACACGGATTTGGGAATGTGGCCAACAGTGCGGCATTCATGGCATTCAAATTATACTCATCATATTTGGGTAACAAATGCTGATAGAGTGGAAGTGCATTGCCATTGGAGTTCACATCGCCGGCATAGTAGTTCATATGCGGTGGCGGAAGACCAGGTGGCAAACCCGATACAGCGGCGGCATTCAGCGCAGACTCTGTAAGCCCATTCGTTTTGAGACCGCCACCAGTACTACTATTGGAAACTTGTCGTTTCGCTCCCTGACCACCATTGGCATTCTTCTCGAGCGCTTTTAGCATGGCACGATTCGGATTCAATTTCATGCCCATACTAATGCATTTCTTCGATGTCATATGCGATGAATAGGAACCGGAATGTGAGAATCTTTTGCCACAATTATCGCAACCGAATGGTTTCTCACCCGAATGGATGCGTACGTGCTCCTTGAGGTGATGCTTGAACTTGAAGGCTTTATCGCATTGATTGCACTTGAATTTGCGCAACAAAGCGGACTCGTCATGACTGATCATGTGCCGCTGTAGGCGATAGACGTTGGCGAAGGCTTTGTGGCATATTTTGCAGCTCTGAAAAGAAAGCGAAGAAGGCGGGCTGCGTTAGTAAGGGTGTAGGCAGAGATAGATTTTGCAGAAATATTAAGTTTTATTCTTTTCAGAAGTGACTGACTTGCTAATCAAATGAGTTTTTATTTATTTCATTTCTACTTATAAACCAAAATCTTTAAATAATTAAGTTTAGATATAAAATTTAAAAAAAAAAAATTAAAATTTTTAATATTTTTTCAAATCTTTAGTGTGAATATGACCATCAACCTTATAGTGATGAAATTTATAATTTGATTTTTTCACGGAGGCTTATGTTACGCTTAAGAAAATTGAATTGATAAGACAAAATTGAAAATATTAATAATTATAGAGTGCACAACAGAAATTGAGGTAACCTTACGAAACAACAACAACGTATTTGGTTTTAATGTGTATGTGTAGTTGTACAAAAATTGCTTATCTGAATTCTACCTACGAAAGCACTTATTTACACGTGTTTAGCTTAGTTTTGTTCCCTACCCTTAACTGTTGATTATAGTATTGTTTATGTAAGCAGAAAAAAAAAAAATTTATAAAATAAAAATAAAAATAAATAAAAAATAATAATATAAAATAATAATGAAATATCAAAAGAATTTTTGTTCCGGAAATCAGTCGCTAACAGCCAGGTTGTTGCTGATAAGCAATTTCATAACTCTGTTAATCAAAAAGCTTCGGAATATACATACACATATATATTTTACAAATATTTTATTTTTTCCATTTATTTAAATTTTAATTCTTTTTAAATTTAATTTACTTAATTTTTAAATCATTTTATTTATATTATTTTTTACTTGATTAATTTTTATTTTTTCTATTTGATTATATCTTATTTTTTACCCTTAGCTTTTCAGCTGTATTATTCCGCTTATGTTCGCAACCCTCCCAAACGCTATTTTACCATCCGAACACTCTCCACAGCCTTCTTAAAAATTCTGCGTCAAATTTCCCACAAAATAAAATTATTTCATAAAAACAAAAATAAAAAGGCGTTAAGCGCACTAAATGATTTATTAGATGACATAATGCATTTATAACCAACAATAGCAATGCAAAAAAAAAAATAAAAATAAATAAAAAATTCCCTAAATTTTTTGTTAAAAATAACGACACAAGCAAAATGTTATAACAATAAAAAGTTGAAACAAATGAAAATTGCGGCTAAAATATTAGAATTACGTGCTGCGGATGTCAAATATAAATGTAAATTTATTTTGTCAAGCACAAAGAAAAATATATATAAGAAAAAAAATTTAATAAATAAATATTTACCACAGGAATATTTCGTATGTTATTGCTGCGATTTGATAAAATCACAACGCCCATTTTTGCAAGATAAAAACTTTTATCATAAGTTATTTATTATATTATTATTATTTTTTATTTTTGTTAAACAAAAATTTGTGAAAACATCCAAAGCACAGGTACAATAAAATACACAACGTATTATGACAATAGACTTTCATATTAAATGAGTATGCATTTATGATATACAAGAAAAAACACCTATCATGTCAAAATTGTTGGTATTGCACAAAAGAGAAAGGTTGCAAACAGAGTTGCATAAAAATATAAATAAATTGAATTTTACTGAGAAACTTCAAAATTAAAAACAAAAGAACCCCAAAAACCTTTCTCACACGGATGCTCGTATGCATGTTTCCCCTATCTTTGCCGTAATTCCGATTTCCCAATAATGAGCGAGCTAATGAATAATGAGCGCAAAGTTGAAGGTGTCAATGCAGTGAGAGAAAACAATTCTCCTGACAGTTAGTTGATGCGAAGGCAATTTCCCTTCGCCACAAAATGTTCTTTACATACAAATTTACGTACATATACAATATACATATGTACAACCTTAAAGTGCATTACACTAGTATGTAACAGTCGCACATGTAAAGGTAAATGACATGATTTCCTGGAGGTCCCCCACCGCCTGCCAAGTGATGAGTTGGCGCACAAAGAGAATTGTTTTTCTTTTTTTTTCAAATTGAAATACATTAGCGGCTGAGTAAATGTACATGTTTGTGGTATATTATAGCAGCAGGTGGAGCATAAAACAGCAAGAGTGTGGTGAAGGGGAAGCGTGTTGTAATTGAGATCGCTAAGTGTCGTTAAAAATAAAAACTAAAGGTAAATGAAACAAGCAAAATGAAATTAAGAAAAAAAATTAGAATTATTTAAATAAAGAAAAAAATAAAAAAAATAAAAAAATATAAATTAGATATAGAAAAAAATATTAAAATAAAAAATATAATAAAGTAAAAAATATATAATATAAAATTAATTTCAAATAAAAAACAATTTACTTAAATAAAATAAAACAAAATAAAATAAAATAAGATAAAATGATGTAAAATAAAACATAAGGTAAACAAACAAAAAAAAAAGGAATAACAAAATAAAACCAATTAAAATAAGTAAAAAATAACTAATAAAAAAAATATATATATATATAAAATAATATCAAATAAATAAAAATATAATGATATAACTTAAAATAAAATCTAATTTTAATAAACAAAATAAAATATAATAAGTAAAAATTAAATAATAAAAAATTATAAAACGTGAATACAAAGATATAAAAAAATAAGATAAAACAAATCAAAATAATTTATAAAAATAAAAAATGGCAGCCGCGATAGTCGAGTGGTTAGCATTGCGTGCGACCATCATTCAAAAATTATACAAAATTAATTAAAAAAAAAAGAAAATAAGTTAAATTTTCCCTTCAGGGAATGTTAACAGCTTCGGGTGTATTCATTACATGAAATAAAAAAACAGCCATCAGCAGCTCGGAGGCGGTTTAGGAGAATCATCAGGACGCAGCGGTTACAAAGGCGCCAATTATATATAATTTCTATATATATTTGTGGTACACATAATAGAAAACAGTAAAAAAAAATCAAACAAAATAGAATATCATAACATACAAAAAATCAAATACACCAAGCTATTGAAATAGAAAGCAATAAAATAAAAAATTAAATGCAACTAAAAATATAATTTTTTTTAATTAATAAACAATAAAATTAAATTAAATTAATACTAATAAATTAAACTAAATAAATTAAACAATGTTAAATAAAACAAATAAAAATATAATAATATAGAATAAAAATAATAAAGAAAAAAAAAAAAAAATAAATAAATAAATAAAATAATTTAGAAAATATGAATTAAAACAAAAAATTAAATGTTGTTTAATAAAATAAATGAAATATATCAAAATGAAAAAACGGAAATAAAATATAATAGAATAAAAAAAACCGAAATTTCTAAATGAGAGAAAAAAAAAAAATTCAATATAAAGTAAAACAGATTAAAAAATATGTTAGCGAGTATATCTTTATTTATGTACATAGAACATATATAGATGCATACAACAAATATATTTTAAATAATTTATTAAAAAAATCCTAAGGAATCCCTGTTGTATATTTGACCTTTACTATACATACATATATTGAGGGTAAATTATTTTTCAATTTCACCATCGCTCTTAAGCGCACGAAAATAGCAGTGATACTAAGAAAGTAAAAAAAGTGAAATCATAGCTAAAACAGAATGTCATGGTAAATGTTTTTAATGAAGCGGAAGCGGCTAATGAACGCAAGGTGTGCTCATCACTATTCAAGTGTAGGCTGATGATTTCATCAGAGCGAATTATCTACATACATACATACATGCATGTGTACATATGAATGTACGTATGTAACATTTGTAAACAAACTATAGTTCATGAAAGGGAATTTCGCGAATGAGAATGTCATGGAAAAAAATATTGAAAAGAAAATAGTAAATTAATCGAAATATGCACATGCATACATGCAAAACAACATTAATATTTATTAATGCAAAATATAGAAAAATGTTCAGTTATATGAAGTATTAATTAAAATTAAAAACACATAGTAAATATAATTGTACTAAAAGAAAAATTAAAAAAATCGCACCCACTACACATAACGTAAAATTTTCAAAGGCTACAACAAAACCAATCAAAAAGAACATTTATTTAATGCTCTGGAATGTAATAATTTGCTTGGCGTGTGGCATTTTTCATTTACATACATACATACATACACACATTTGTTTGTGCATACATACACCTTCTGCCAAAATGTGACTATTTCATTTGTGTTGTTTTTGTTTTTTTTTTGCCAATTTTGAAGAAAATGCGCACGCTTTGATATGCACTCAAACGACGACAACAATAATAATAAAAGCTAAATACAAACACACAAATAGACGCCGAACATCAAACATATGTACGTATGTATGTACATACACTATGTATACATATCCGTATATGTATGCAAACAAGTGGATGCATTTGAAAATAAAATTTTTTTGTTTTTGTTTTCCACTGAGTGATCGACACAAAGTGCAGTAATAAAGCATACAGCAATAATAAAAAAATGAGAAAATAGAAACAACAACAACATTGAACTAGAGCAGTAGTAAAACTGGAAGCTAAGCAAAACAAAATGAAACAATAATAAACAAAAAATTATAAAGGTATGCATACATATGTAGATATGTACATATGTATGTATGTGCACTAATGTATATGACACAGCAGTATTTGGGAGAATGGAGAAAGAAAAATCTGTAAGTTAACAGTTTGGAAAACGCTGTATAATGACACTGACAAACAAATATGTTTGTATGTATATATGTATGTATGTATGTATGAAGTACATATGTACATATATGCAAAGGTGGGTAATTGTAGGCAAAGTGATAGCGCAAATAATAACATAATGATGACTTTGATGATATTTTTGTAATGAGTTTGATCAGTTTTGTGTGTTGCTCTAAGTACATATGTACATATGTATTTTGATGAAAATTTTTTGAAAACTTCTCAAATGAGCAAATATGCATCTCAGTTATGTACACTTGGATTTACCCAAAATTTTATTCAGCGAAATTATAAAACAAAAAAGATTTTTTATTTTAATTTAAACGAA